GAGGCGGATGATGCTAATTTTGACAGTGCATCCGCCTGGTTGTTTTCTGATCTCGGCACTTGGGTCAGATGGAAATCCTCAAGGGAGCCGACTGCTTGTCGGACCGCCTGTAAATACTTGATCATGGCCGGATGGGTTGCTTCGTATTCGCCATTGTACTGACTCACTATCAATTGTGAATCGGAACAGGCGTCTATTTTTCTTGCCCCTGCCGCCTTGCACATGCGGATTCCGGCTAGTAAAGCTTCATATTCTGCCTCATTGTTTGAGACCTGAAAACTGAAGCGTAGAGCATACTCGTACCTGTCGCCCTCTGGCGACTGCCATATGACGCCTGCTCCACAACCATTTGAAGTAGAGCTTCCGTCCACATATACCTTCCAGACTTGGTCTGTAACTTGAGAGTCAGGAGGACGAGTCATCTCAACAATAAAGTCAGCAAAGGCTTGCCCCTTCACTGCTTTTCTAGGCTCGAAAGTAACTTCGAGGCTCTGTATTTCTATAGCCCATTTGATCATTCGGCCTGACGACTCCATGATGGTCAGTGGCCGCTTGATAGGTTGGTCTGTATACACGACGACTGCATGTGCCAAAAAGTAGGGCTTCAATTTTTTAACAGCCATGAAGAGTGCAAGACCAAATTTCTCCACTAAGGGATACCTCAACTCGGCATTTTTCAGTACATAACTGACAAAGTAGACCGGGAGCTGACAGCCGTCTCTTTCAGCAAGGAGAACAGCGCTTAACGCATGATCAGAGACGGCCAGGTACATGTAGAGTACTTCTTTGGGCAAAGGGCTGACCAGCCTCGGCAAGGAATGCAAGTGAACTTTCAATTTCTGGAAGGCCGCCTCAGCATCCGGCCCCCATTCAAACCTTGCCTTTTTCTTAATTGCCTGGAAAAAGTATAGGCATTTGTCGCCTGATCGGCTTAGAAATCTTCCCAAGGCCGCCAGACAACCTGTTAACTTCTGAACCTCTCGGATGGTACGAGGCGACTGCATGTCGATGACCGCCTGCACCTTCTCAGGGTTCGCCTCTATTCCTCTCTGATTGATAAGGAATCCGAAAAAATTTCCCAGACTCAACTCCAAAGACACATTTCTTGGGATTGAGCATGACATGGTGCCGCCTGAGTGTGGAAAAAGTTTCTCGGAGGTCCGACAGATGATCTTTCTGAAGTTTAGACTTGACAATCATATCATCAATATATGCCTCGACATTTCTCCCAATCTGATCAAAGAACACAGTGTTTATCATTCGCTGGAAAGTGGCCGGGGCATTCTTAAGACCAAACGGCATGACCGTGTAACAGTTTAACCCCTGATCAGTGACGAAGGTCGTCTTCTCCTGATCTTTCTCCCATAAAGGAATTTGATGGAAACTAGAGTAGGCATCCATAAAGCTCATCAAAGCATGGCCGGCTGTTGAGTCGACCAGGTTATCAATTTTAGGCAGAGGGTAACTGTCTTTGGGGCACGCCTTGTTTAAGTCTGTGTAGTCTACACACATTCGCCAGGTGCCATTCGGATTTTTAATAAGCACCACATTTGCAACCCAGTCTGGGAAGTAACTTTGCCGGATGAACCCTGCATCAAGTAATTTTTTAACTTCGGCGGCTGCCGCCTGACTTCTTTCTTCGCCATGGTTCCGCTTCTTCTGCCGTACCGGCTTCTTTTTCGGATCCACGGCCAGTTTATGTACCGCCAGATCAGGACTAATGCCTGGCATTTCATGGACTTCGAATGCAAAGATGTCCTTGTATTCTTTCAATAGTTTGTGAAAGTCGTCACCCAGGTCCCTTAGAGCAGTCGTCCCAACCTTGATTGTTCTGTCAGGACGCAAGTCATCTAACATCAGGTCCGTATGCTCACCAGATGGCTGAGGGCGGAATTCATCCGACCGCTCCTCTGCTAATGATTGCGATTTTCTGTCTTTTCTTGCGGCCCCTGTCTGGGATGCCTTTCTCTTCTTGCCGCCTGCTTCTTGAACAGGCGCACTCTCCTTGACATTGTCAAGGTCTATTTTTCCACCACTCGACCCAGTGGGCTTGACATTCGAGAGATAGCACTCTCGGGCCATCCTCTGATCTCCCCTTAGGGACCCGACTGTTCCATTATCCCTCTCAAACTTGAGCAACATAAGAGATGGGATTATTACAGCCTTGGAATTATTCAGGGTTGGTCGTCCCAGAATCATGTTGTAGGCCGAGAGTTCTTCTACTACCAGGAACCGGACTACCATGTGTCGTCCTTCCCCTCTTTCACCCAGGCGGATGGGTAAATCCACTCGTCCAACTGGGTGGACGACTCCTCCTCCAAACCCGACTAAAGGGTGGGATGCCGGATGTATGCAATCAGTCTGATATTTTAGTTTCGACAGACATTTGCTACTGATGAGATCTGAGGAGCTTCCGGTATCTATGAGGATTCGGCCAACTCTCTGGTTGGCCACTTTACATTCAATAACGATAGGGTCGTCATGCGGCCCTCTTACCCCTCCTAGATCTTCTTCAGTGATAACAATCTCAGGAAATGAATATTTGGAGGGCCGTTCTTGGTGAACGGAATTTACATCTAACCGTCTGATATTGTCTTTGTTGCCCCTAATAGTGGGGCCGCCTCCTGAGAAGCCGCCTGCAATGGTGTAGACGACTGCATCATCTGTATCGGAATTGTCGGCCTGTTGATTCTTTTTGGCCGACTGCTTTTTCGAGGAAGTGTTCCCCGTAGATTTCTTGACATAAGTGTCAAGATCACCTTGCTCAGCCAGGCGGTCCAGATACCGCATGAGACTGATGCATTCATTGGTGTGATGACCAACATCTTCATGATAATCACAGAATTTTTCTTGGTTCCGGTTGTTTGCAGAACCCTTCATGGGGACCGGCTTCTCAATTGAGATCCGTCCCTTGATTTCCATTAGGATAAATTGGCTATCCTTGTTAAACGCATACTTTGGGGAGTATGGTTTGAATTCTTTTTTCTTTTTCTAGGCCGGCTGTTTAGAGGAATCAGCCGCCCAGACCTCTTTTCTCTTCTCGTCTTTGTTTGACGACTGTTTCTGTCGTCCTTCTCTTTTGTCGGACCTTCTCCCGTCTGACTGTTTTACCGTACTACAAAGATCAGTCGCCTGTATATAAGCTTCCGCTTCAATCAAGGCCTCTTGAAGAGTCGCCACCCTCTTTCGGACCAAATCAAATTTGAAGGTCGACCCGTCTTTGAGACCTCTGAAAAAGTCAGTATAGGCTACTTCATCCGGTAACCCTTGAATCTGTATTCTCATCAGGTTAAACCGCCTGATGTAAGAACGAAGCCCCTCCTTCTCGCCCTGCTGAATTGTTCCTAAATCAAGGGTCTTCTTCTTCGTAGGGATGTTCATGGCGAAGTTGGAGGTGAATAAGTAAGCAAGCGTCTTGAAGTTATTTACACAACCGGTCGGCAGGTTGCCGAACCATTGTTGTGCGATTCCTTTGAGAGTCGCAGGGAAACACTTGCACCAAGTGGGATCATCCAACCCTTGAAGGTACATCAGGTTGGTGAATGCCATCAGATGGTCTTCTAGGTTAGTAGTGCCGTCATAGGCGCCTACTAATACATTTTTCACTTTGGCCGGGTGAGCGGCTTCAGTAATTTCCTTGGAGAAGGCCGACGGCTGTTCACCAAGCCTAAGCAACCGTAGCTGCCAGTCCATAGGTTGGACATTTTTTGCTGCATGTCCACCAAACGGAGGTGGCTGTAAAAAATACTGTTGTTGCGGTACAAACGGTAAGTTTGGTACCGCCTGGTCGCTATGATAGCCGGACTGACGGGAGGTGCCGCCTGAATGACTCTCATGATACGACTGAGTATACCTCATCGAGGTATTTCGCAGACTGTCTTGGAAGTTTGAAGTAGAGGCCGACTCTGACAATCGGTCACTCTTCTTCTGCTCTAGCAGTAGCCGAGCGTCTGTGTATGTTTTCCTCGACCCGTCCGCCTGAATATGACGAACAGGTTTCCTATTTCCTGGAGTAGGAAAACGGTATTTTGTGAAATCAAGGGCAGGTGGCTCCCACTTCCTAGATTTAGGATGAGGGGTCGCCTCTCGCCCTTGAACTGGCTTCCTCTTCCGTGAAGTGGAGGGTTTCTTAGCCGACTGCTCCTTGTCCAGAGCAGACGGCTTCTTGTTGATAAACTCTTGAATTTCTCCCTTGAAGTCCCTCATGAAGGTCATGAGTTCGTTCCTTGTGATGGGAGCAGACCCATCAGTCGGCTGCTGCCGAACAGGCGGTGCGCCTGCTGGCTCGCTTGCTGTATGAAGAGGTTCCCGTTCCCTCCTTTCGGTATGACGGGTACGTCAGGCCCTTAGGGTCCCGTCTGAAGCTGTGTGAGCTTCAACTTCAAATTCATTCTCAGTATCGTGGTCCGACTGAACTAGAGGGTCGTCCAGGGGACGTCTCTCTTCAGGAGCCGGTAAAAACGTGGATGCCATCTCAGAAGTACTCTCCCCACAGACGGCGCCAAGATGTTTCGGGGTTTTCTGATGTCCTGCGGGAGAGTTACAATTCCGAGACTGGAACCGGGCGCCCGTACCTGCAAAACAAACGGATGCTCCGGATGATTGGAGATCCGCCTCCGACGGTCAAGTTAATACTTGATTATGGAGTAATTAATGCGGAAATTAAAGTGATTGAGTCTCTCTAGGTGAGAGAGTTTAATGTGTGTAATCTGCGTAATCTCCCTTAATGAGGATTAAGGGAGGTATTTATAACCTCGGGAAACGTGCCAATCTAGGTTTAGGTTAACCTTGGGCTGATTGGGCTTCCCACGGAAGTTGGGCCTAGGTGACCGGTTATCCCAGGTGTCATGGGAAGGACACGTGTCGTGTCGTAATTGGTCCATAGTGGACGGATCATTGCTTGACACGTGGCAGGCTCCTATTGGCCCATGTGACGGACACATGGCGGAACCTGATTGGTCCGCTTGTCAGATGGTGATTGGTGGGGAAAAATCCCCTAATCACACGCTAAGAGGGAAAACATTCTGAATACCGGCAATTGCTTGAGCTGGATTCGTTATTGTGATAGGACTTTTCTTTCCCGTATATTTTAAGAATGTATCAAAGAGCCACACAAAAGATTCAGTTCGCTCGTTGAGAATAAAACCCATACCAAACATAATATTATTAGCATGATGATTCATGCCAACAAATGGAGCACAAATCATTCCGTATTTATTTGTCCTATATGTAGTATCAAAAACCAGCAAATCTCCAAAATACTCATAATCTCTCTTCATCCGACCATCACGCCAAAAAAAGTTAACTAAACACCCATCCTCATCTTGCTCGAAATCGTAGTAAAATTCAGCTTCATCAAGTTGTCTTTTTGGAAAGTATTTGATCAGTTGATGACTATCACAACCATCAAATAAAGATCGCTTTTCTGCAAATAAAGCATTATAGGCATCGGGTCCCGTAAATCCTGAATTAGGAGAACCACCAACATCCTTCTTCATTGCTCTCAAAGCTGCAGAAATTTTTACTCCACTACACCTTAATGTAGACATAAATTGCAAATTTTCTGTAGAAACACTCCTTTGAGACCTTAACAAATGCCTCTTTTCAGGAGGAATCATATGATGATTATGTTTTGCACATGTCCATAAACCTAAACGATCAATCTTGAATTGAATAAAAGCCAAACAACCAGTTCTTGTTTCAAGTCTCTCATAAGACCTTTTATTCTTAGCCTTATCTCCTTCCAACCTTCATTACAACAAACAAATCATTTCATCTTCAAAGAAAAATCATTTCGGGTTTTACTCTTATCAATACTAATACCAAATCCATGCCTAAATGCGTATTCATTATAACTATCATAAGCTTCTTCTTCAGAATTAAAATCTTTACCAATTAACTCTGATTTAGTTATTGCTTCTTCAAAGACAATTTCATCACTAGTACCCACTGCATAAGTTTTTAAAAATGAACATATTCAATAACATATATGTACATATACAAAACAGTAAACAATAATAATATAAATGATCATTTAGCATTATCAAATGATCAAAATAATAAAATTAAATATAGTACTGAATATAAAAAAATATCATGTAAACATCTATAACAAAACATTAGTTTGAATAATAATGATCATTTAGAATTATGAAATTGTTCAAAATGATAAAAAAAAATAAATAAAAGGTACCTACAAAATTCACTGATCATTATATCAACATACTTGATTAAAGCATTTCAATTAGATCAAAAATGAGAAATTGAAATAAAACGTACATTATAACAAAAAAAAATTCGAATAAACATACAATAACAAATGGATTAAAATTAAACTAAAACAGAAACACCATCATAAAATTCTAATACATAGTAGCGTAAAATAGAAATCAAAATCAAAGTTCACAAATTGAACTAAAGCAGAGACAAAATCAACTAATGCTACTACAAATAAGCGTAAAATAGCAATCAAAATCAGAGTACACAAATCGAGCTAAAGCAAAAACTAAATTGATCTAAAACAAAGACAATTTCGTCAATCAAATCACATTGATAAAACAACTAAAATAGAAGCAAAATTAATAAAAAAAAAACTCACATTGATCAACAAATGAATTAAGCAATCCAACAGAAGAGGGAGAAACAACTTCACAATCACGATCAAAATCGGAAATCGAAGAATGCCGAAGTTCACAATCACGATCGACAGCTACAATCAATGATTCATCCATGAATGAGAGAGAAATTAACAAACTATAGAGAGAAAATGCAAAAATAAAGAATAAAAAATATAGGAAATTAGGTTTAAAATGAAATATATAGGTGGCTTGGATAGTAAGGAAAGTAATAAGAAGAAGGAAAGGGAAAAAATTGAAAAGGAAAAACAGAAAATGACTAAAACGACGTCGTTCAAGGGAGGGAGTAGCCAACTATGCCTATAGGGGGGTGTAGCCAAAAAATTTGGACATTTGGACTAATTTGTTGACTGATTTGCAGGCTACGTTTGACTGAATATGGATTTTAAGCACTCCCAAGATTAAATACTTGACCCAACCAATAATGGCGGTGAAAGGTTGTTCATCATCGGGTTTGGTTTTGAGGATACATTTTTAGATGTCTACAGTTATTAAACGAGATTTCAAAACCTGTTAAGCTTGGGTAATTTTTTAAATATACTAACATAAACAAGCTTTGGTTGATCTCGAAAATGAGTTGTCCATTGAGAGTCTTTACTCGTTACCCTTATTTTAATTCATCCCTTGGACATTATTAGAAGGTCTTCATTTTGAAATGTATAAAGTATAAGATTTATTTCTAAAATGCAAGTACCGCATTTAACTAAGTCGAGTTAGTAGCATCCCATTATCATTATCCTTTATATAATAAGAATATTTGTTTAAACCACATTATTCAAAATCTCAATCAAACAATTAGCCAATTATAATTAATCCCTCCAAAACTATTTACAAAATTCAAAAACTAACTTAATCCAAGAATTTTTAAATAAATTAAATTGTCCACCGTGGGATAACAAGAAAAATAATTAGGATCTTGCTAACAAGAGCCTCGGGCGTTAGATAACTAAGTAATAATTAGGATCTTGCTAACGCGTCGATCGGTGTAATTAATTTTAATTTTACTTTAGTATTTCTACTTTTAGTTATCTTATTTAACGTCCGGAGGCTCTCGTTAGCTTTTGCCAAATAATTAATTTCAAAGTCTTATATAATTCCATACAATACAATTTTCCTTACATATGCACGAGTATACTGTAGTTGCGCACTTGTGTTAATTAAGCATTTAGGCTTAAGCACAATTTAACTACAACTCTTGAAAATCACAAATACATTCAAACAGTCTTATCCATTTCTTTCTACAAAAATCTATACTCCCTCTGTCCCTTATCTACATGCCTATTTCCCGTTTTTCACGAGAATTAAGGAACTTAGAGATTCCTTAAAACCCATGATTCAAAAGTACAAATATGCATGTGGGGTTAGAGAGAGATAAAGATAAAGAAAAAGTATTTGGTAATTATCAAAGAGATGGAAAGAGAAAGTGTTGGAAAATGATGTTAAAAGTACAAAAAAAAAAATGATGACAACTCATCAAAAAGAGAGAATATTGTCAAAAAGTATATTCTTTAAATAGATATAGGCATGTAGTTTTGAAACCCTAAAAAAAGAAAGTAGGCATGTAGATAAGAGACGGAGGGAGTAGTAAATTAAATATATGTTTTAGTCTTCACAAGTACAAATCATATGCAGGGCTTATGCAATACAACTTTTTTTTTCTTTTATATATATATATATAGGGGAGGGATCATGTGAGAACCAAGCCTTATATGAGAACCAAGTTAAAATGAGAACCAATCTTATGCCATTAAAATTATGAAACTAACGGCTGAGATTAAACATATGCACATGTATACCCATTGTGCATTTATTGAGACAATGATCACTTTTCCCTCGAAAATTTAAAACTGCAATCCTAATGTCTAATCAAAACTGACGGTTGGTTTGCTTCCCTTACACACCGATTATTCTTACAAATTTACATCATTTCAAAAACCAATTATCTTACTTCAATTGTGTTCGCGCCCATAACTTCCATTAGGAAAAAAACGGAAGTAACTGCTACATTGTTCTATCAAAACCCCAAAAACTACCCAAAAATACCCATTTTCGATTTTGTTAGCAAAATGAAAGAACAAACGCAGAAAAAGGACTACCGAAGCAAGGAGAGTTTCAAGAAATTTCAGTAAGTTTTTTATAATTCAGTAAATTATGATGAAAATAAGATAATGTAAACACTTAGGGTTTTAAATTTTCAAAATGTTTGGTTTTGAACAGAGAAAGGTTGCGAAGAGAGTTGGATGGAGTGGAGGCGGAAAATCCTATGGAGGAGGCCGGCGTTCCCGCTGCAGCCGAACAAGCGACGGAAAACCTACAACCACCAACGACGAAAGCTCAATTGACAAAGTAATGTTTCCAATTTTATTGTTAATGTCGCGCGAATTATACTTAGGGTTTCAAAAATTATATAGATTGTGTTTTGGTATTTTTGAAATTACTGCAACTAGGGATTTAAAATTAGTATCAAATTAATTTTGTTATAGTGTTTCTGTATTTGGAATTATTGTAACGGAAAAATGAACCATTGTTTCCGAACGTTGTTATGTATTGAATTATAAGAGTAATTTTGATTTGTTCCATAAGTTGTTGTTATTTTTTCAAAATTAAAAAAACTAATGCCACAGTCAATTGTGTTGTTAAAATGTAGATTAATTGTAATTTAATGATGTTTCATAAAATATATAAAGTGTTATAATTTTTCAAATCAATGTTTCATTTATTATATTGCTTGTTTCATATAGTTTGGTCCTTTATGAACTAGATGTAGTAATATGGTTTCGTTTTGTTTGTAAGATGGTTCATATTTTCATATCAATGATTTATATATTATATTTCTTGTTTCATATAGTTGGGTTCTTTATGAACTAGATGTAGTGATATGCATTCGTTTTGTTTGTTAGATGTCTCAATTGTTTCAGATTAATGTTTTATATATTATATTGCTTGTTTCATATAGTTGGGTTCCATATGAACTAGGTGTAGTGATATGTTATACATTATGTTTCAAAAAATCACACCATATGTTTCATTTATTTATGTATATGTTCCAAACAATATGTGCATTTTTTCATATACTAATGGTATACTATTTCATTTCTTACATACCTTATATCAATGACTGCTGGTTCATTTCTCATAGTTATTATTACATAGTCATAATTGTGGTTTCGTTTGGTTTGTTAGATATGTCAATGTTTTTTTTCATAGTCACAACTGTGGTTTCGTTTTGTGTGTACGGTGTTTCGATTTTTTATACTAATGTTTCATATATTATATTACTTGTTTCATATAGTTGGGTTCTTTATGAACTAGGTGTAGTGATATCTTATCATTATGTTTCACAAAAACATACCTTATGTTTCATATTATTATATTTATTTTCCATATAATATGTGCATTGTTTCATATACTAATCATATACTATTTCATTTCTCATATTTATTGTCACATAGTCTTATCTATGGTTCCGTTTTGTTTGGTAGATGTTTCAATGTTATCATATAAACCATAATATTTGTTGGAAATTTTAAATACTTTTCCTTTTGAACAGCGAAAATGTGCAAAGAGATTTGGAGGAAGAAGTGGCGGAAAACCCCGTTGATAAGGCCGTCGTTCCCGCCATAGCCGAACAAGCGACGGAAAACATACAAATCCCAACAACAGAAACAAAATCTACAAAGTAATGTTTCAAATTTTATTGTATGATAACAATAATTTTGACTTGCACCATAAGGTGTTGTTATTGTTACAAAAAGACTTGTCACTGATTCAATTATAAAATCTAATGTTACATAGTCATATCTGTGGTTGGAAAACTGTTTTTGGAATTGTGTTGTCAACGTTATGTAAAAATGTAGTTGAATTGTTTTTTAATGATGATTCATAAAATATGTAAATTGTTTCAGTTTTTCATATAAATGTTTCATATAATATATAAATTATTTCAGTTTTCCATTTTCCGGAATAATAACAATTATGTTTCATTTTATACTAATTATGTTTAGGGGTGGGACTTCGGTCTGGCGGTTCGGTTTGACCTCGGTTTGAGTCGGTTTCGGTTTGGAGCGGTTCGGATTGAAACGGTTTAGTTTAGCTGGCGGGTCGGTTTGGTTCGGTTTGGGTTAGTCACGGCTCGTTTTGGTTTCGGTTTATTTCTTTGCGGTTCAAATTCGGTTTGGGTCATAAGCGGGTCGGTTTATAAACGATTCGGATTATGTCGGTTCGGTTTGATACGGGTCGGTTTAGGGGGCGGGTTTACCCGGGTCAATGTCAGTTCGGTTTACAAACGGTTTAGATCAAGCCGGTTTGGTTTGAAATGGGTCGGTTTAGGGGCGGGTTTACCCGGGTCAATATCGGTTCGGTTTATAAACGGTGCGAATCATGTCGGTTCAGTTTGAAATGGGTCGGTTTAGTGGAGGGTTTACATAGTTCAATTGGTTCGGTTTATGAACGGTTTGGATCATGTCGGTTCGGTTTATAAGCGGTTTGGGTCATGAATTCATGATTGTTTTAAAGATCGCGTCATGACCATGATTTAATGAGTTGATACTTATAATACGATAAATCGATAATTAAGAATGTACAAGTATTCAATTAGATTGATCAACAAGTGTTTTAAACTTTTAAGTTTTAATAATCAGATATGTAAATATGTTTATCGATTGTAGTACATACCAATAATTCAATGAGGCAATGATACTTATGATAGTATGATAATGATACCAACCGTACATTCGTACGATATGATATACATAATAATTAATCTATAATTACATATACATTAACAATATTGTATTGAATCAATTTCCATTTCCAAACATTGCATTTCTTATAAATTATAACTTACACGAGATTAAATGGATTCGTTATTTAGTTTGTTACTTTATTTAGATTACTAACTCAAACAACTTAATAAGTTAAATGGACGAAATCACGAAATCATGACCATGATTTAATGAGTTGATACTTATAATACGATAAATCGATAATTAAGAATGTACAAGTATTCAATTAGATTGATCAACAAGTGTTTTAAACTTTTAAGTTTTAATGATCAGATATGTAAATATGTTTACGATTATAGTACATACCAATAATTCAATGAGGCAATGATACTTATGATAGTATGATAATGATACCAACCGTACATTCGTACGATATGATATACATAATAATTAATCTATAATTACATATACATTAACAATATCGTATTGAATCAATTTCCATTTCCAAACATTGCATTTCTTATAAATTATAACTTACACGAGATTAAATGGATTCGTTATTTAGTTTGTTACTTTATTTAGATTACTAACTCAAACAACTTAATAAGTTAAATGGACGAAATCACGAAATCACTAATTAAAGTGGTGATGAAATCATTATGCAATACTAATGTACGAATAGTCAAATATACAACGGTTAGATTGAATGCCCATGAAAAACAATGGTTAGATTTTCATTACTTTATTAGTTATTACTTATTAAGTTATTATTAGTTTATTTTATATACTGATATATAGTCACAGACTCACAGATATATATAATATACATATAGAGATGTCAGATATTGATGTGCATTAACTCATTAAGTCATTAACTATGTCGTATTGAATCAATTTCAATTTTGAAACATTTGCGTTTCTTACAATTTATAACTTATAAGTAATAAACTAATAATAATAATAATAATAATAATAATAGTAATAATAATAATAATTATAATAATATTATAATAATACTATAATAGTAGTACTGTAGTAGTAAACTAGTAATAATAATAATATTAACAAAAAATTATACTAACAATAATAATAATAATCTTTCAAAATAATAATAATAATAAATAACTAAAAAAACGGTCAAAAAGACCTAGAAAAGCACAAAGAAAAATCTAGACCGTTAGATCTAGATGAAAATTCTAGAATCTACAAAAAAAAAAAAAAAAAAAATGAACGGTTAGATGTTGAGAATCCTTGAGATTGAATATGGACGGTTGATCAAATGAACAAGTAAAACCTAAACCTAGAATCTCAAGCCCACTCTATCAGCCATTCAGCCGTTTTACTCACTCTCAGTTTCTCTCTCTAACTTCTCAGTTTCTCAGTTCTCATCTCACTCATTCGTTCTGAAATTCTCAAGAATCTCAAGCTCAACTTCTCAACTTTTAAAAATCCTAATTAGGGTTTTTGTTTTCGTTTCATTTGTGTTTTGGATCTACATTTCTGATTTCTCGCTTTACATTCTCGTTTTTTTGTTTTTTCAAATCTTCCTCTCCTTCAATTTGAAGGCTTCAAGCCGTCAAAAGTTCAAAACTCAAGGTAATTTTTTGTTAATTTTTGTTGTTTTCGTTTTGATTTTTTTTCGTTTTTGTTTCGGTTTGTTTATTTAGGGTTTTTGTTTTCGTTTCATTTTTGTTTTGGATCTAAGTTCTAATTTCTGACTTTTTCATTGTCGTTTTTTTGTTTTTGTCTTCCTCTCCTTCAAGCCGTCAAACCTCAAGGTAATTTTTTGTTAATTTTTGTTGTTTTCGTTTTGATTTTTTTCGTTTTCGTTTCGGTTTTTTACTTTTTTTTATTTAGGGTTTTTATTTTCGTTTCATTTTTGTTTTGGATCTAAACTTCTTATTTCTGACTTTTCCATTCTCGTTTTTTTTTTTTTTCAATTCTTCCTCTCCTTCAAGCCGTCAAACCTCAAGGTAATTTTGTTGTTAATTTTTTCGATTTTTTTCGTTTTCGTTTCGGTTTTTTTTTTACTTCAAGTTCTTGATTTTTTCTTTTGATCTCCAGTTCAGGCAGTTCTCCATCTTCAAATCTCCTTCAAGCCGTCAAAGACTACTCAAAGGTAATTACTTTTTCCTTTTCGTTTTTTTTTTTTAATACAGTTTTTCTGTTTTTGTATTTGATTATTGTTGTTGTTGTTCTAGTCTATGTTTGAGTTTACTTCTTATAAATCTTCATAGAGATTGCATATTTCCTTTGCTTTATATCTTCTATGAGAACTAGCTAAAGCCATTGTTTGCCTCTCTTATTTGCTTGTCTGTGGTGTCAAATTCATTTGATTGTCTAAGGTCCCAAAGTGATTGAGACCTTTCTTTTTTCTGTTTTCTTGTAGAGAGTCAATAGCAGTTATAAGCTGCAGGTATCTAGAACCAATAATGTACTGCATTTTCATGTATGCAACATGCATCTTGCTTGCAATGAGACATTAAGCCTTTTGTTTTCACACTCCAAGCTAGCTATCTTCTTATAGCAGCTGATCTGTACAATTACTTGGATTAGTGGGGGTCTGTCCTGATGTTGTCTAAAAGCACTTGCATGTTTCTTATCTGAGTTTCAGAAAGCAAGGGTGGACTTTTGATGGTCTGTATTTTGGCTATCTTGTGGATATATGATTGGTGAAGAATGATAGAATCTTCAGTAACTGGATACCTAGTCAAACTGTGCGGGAAAGTCTAGTTAACTTATGCATTCCTTGTTCACTTCACCGAGCTTGCCTGGAATGTTTATGTCAAGAATTCATTTTTGACTGCTTTGATTAGAATGGAATGTTTATGTCAAGAATTCTTTTAGTTGGGCTTAAAGTTAGTACTTAAAATGTACTCATATGTTAGTCACATGAGACAATGCATGCTTAATTGCTCACTATTAGTAGAATCTGTCACTTAATTTGGTACTTATAAATGCTATTTTTTTTTTGTTTCAGTCATGTCTCGAGAGTATGATGAATTTGACTATGAGAGGCAATCAAATTTTGATACTGTTAGCTCTTAAGCTGCCTCTGTCCCGCTTGATGATGCTAGTAATACCGGCACTATCAATCCTTCTGTTAATAAACGTCAAAGAACCGCAGGTATATGGAAGCATTACACTTTTTTTGAAAAGACGATAGGTAATGAAAAGGTAGCAATTTTGAAAAACAAAAATAAGTTCATGCTGAGTCCCTTCTGCTTATTGTTCCTTGCTTCTGATAAGTTGTTGATCTGTTATTGCGTAAGCTGGTTCCTGCTTGTTGCTGCTATTTCCTCTGCTCTTGGGTATTGTGCTGCTGCTTCAAGATTCTGCTGCCTTTTGTTTTTAGGATATAGTAGTATACTAGTATTCTAGTATGTTAACTTTCCTTTTACCGTCTGTTAGGG